TCTCCCTCCTGTCTGGCATCCCTCCTCCCCTGCCTGGCATCCCTTCTCCTCTCTGCCTGGCATCTCCCCCTTCTCCCTCCTGTCTGGCATCCCTCCTCCCCTGCCTGGCATCCCTCTTCCCCTGCCTGGCATCCCTCCTCCTCCCCCCTGTCTGGCATCCCCCTCCTTCCCCCAGCTTGGCATCTCCCTTCTTATCTCTTGCCTGGCACCTTCCTCTCACCTGGCATCCCCCCTCCTCCCTACCTGGCATCTTCCTCCCCTCGTCCTTTCCTGATGTCTCCCCCCACTTTCGACTCATCCTCTTCCCTGCCTGGCACCTCCCTCCACCCCACCCCGCCCTGGTACCTCTTTTTCCTGCCTCTTTCTTGCACCTCTTCCCATCCAGCCCCCTCTCTGACACCTCCTCCTGCTCATCCTTGCCTGGCATCTTCCCCTTCTCTCCCTACCTGGTACCTTCCCACTCTCCCTCCACCTGCTTTCCCCTCCTTCCCCTTGTCTGGCACCCTCCTGCCTGGCACCTTCCTTTCCTCTCCCCTGTCTGGCACCACCCTCCTCCCCATTGCCTGTCACCTCTCCCTGCCTAGCACTTTCCCAACCTGCTGCTGCCTGGCACCCTCTCCCTCCTGCTCCCCCTGTCTGGCACCTCCCCTCCTTCCTCTGCCTGGCACCTTCCCACCTTCCCCCTGCCTGGCACCCTCTCCCTCCTGCTCCCCCTGCCTGGCACATCCCCTCCTTCCCCTGCTTGGCACCTTCCCACCTTCCCCTGCCTGGCACCCTCTCCCTCCTTCCCCTGCTTGGCACCTTACCTGTCTCCCTTTGGCATCCTCCTCCCTGGACACCTCTCTCCCATTCAGGTTGTCCCTCTGTCCCTCACCTTCCTGCAGAGCACCTCCCCCCACCCCTGGGCTGGTAACCCTTCCCCTATTGGCATCTCCCACCAGCTCCCCTGGTCCCTGCTCCCACCAGCCATCCCTCACCATCTTCAGCACATCCCTCTCTCCAGTTCCCCCATTCCCTTCCCTTCTCACCCTTCTCAGAGTTGACCCTTGCCAAACACCACCTTTTGCCCACATGGCTCCCTGTGACCCTGAACCACTCGCAAGCCCCGCCCCCACCTAGGCACTGCCCTCTCCATAGCCCCCCACCCCCCACCATCTGCAGGGAACTTCAGTGCAGAAGTTGGTCCTGACCCCATGACCGCAGCCAGAAGCCTTCCTGCTCTTCCAGAGGAGAGGGAGGCGGGTGCAGGCTAAGCAGGAGGGCTGTATGCACAGGAGGCGCCCAGTGTCAGCCGCTGACTACCTGCCTGCCGCCTCGGGCTCCAGAGGTCACCCAGTTACCATCCTGGCCTGACGTCTCACCTTCACCTCCAATGCCCAGCTCTGTCCCTCTGTGTATTGCCATGCCCCAAATCTTGCCTTTCCAGGTCAGGGCTTGGCTCCACCAAGGGTCTCTGCTCTTGTCTTTCTAGTTCTTTGCCCTGGAGGACCCTTGGGCAGGGCTCTGTCGGCTTCTGGCACACACTGCTCCCACCCTGTCCTTGTGCCACGCAGTCCACGCTGGCCCTCGCCAGTCGCCTTAGTCCTGGTCCCCTCCTGCACAGGTTCCGGTCTTCCTCCTCACACCTCCTTTCCGGGGAGTTCACCAGCCTCCGAGGCCCCTTTGAGTCTGGCTTGGGGGCTCAGGTTCTGGCCCATCCCTCCCACCACCCTCTCCTTTCAGATCCTCCACAGGATGGCCCTTGGTGCTGCAGTCACGGTGGGCTCTGGGCCCAGGCACCGAGGGGGCACTGGATGACTCTCCAGTTCCAGGACCCTGCCATCTATGACTCCAGGCCTTCAGCACCTACCCACCGTGGTACAGGTAGGCGCTTTCTCCCCTGCCAGCCCAGGACCTGGAGCTCACGCCCCATGGCCTCCTTCTGGCGCTTACACTCCCAGCCAGACTCCTGAGTGCCCAGGGCAGTGCCTCTTCTCAGCCCTCCCACAGCCGGAGCCTTCTCCCTGACCCTGCTGACACCTGTCACTTAATGCCCTCCCCTCCTCCCCTGCACTACCTGTTGCTGAGTGTCCCCCTCACCTCCTGCATCCCTAGGTCCTGCCTCTCAAAGCCACTCTGAGCCAGAGACAAGCTAGTCTGAAGCCAAGTTTTTGGTTCATGTGGAAATGGTCTGGGGATCTGGAGTATTCCACTTTCTCCCCACCCACAGACACCCAGGCACATGCTATCTCTCCCCTCTCCTGTGTACTTGCACACACACACACCATGTGCTCTCTGCTTGCTGGAAGGAACCTGCTGATCCCCTGGCACAACTTGGGCTCAGAAACCTATCCCCAGACATGCTGTGCAAGCCTCTAAAAGCTCTGCAGGGTCCAGGCAGGAGTTTGTTCTTGGTGGTGGTGGGGTGATGGCGGCCTATTGCATGGCCTGGGGGAGGGGGAGTCAGCAGCCATGGGTGGACCTTGAGCTCAAACGTGCTCTCAGGCTGTTGCACAGAAGTTGGACCCTCCTAAGTGAGAGGAGGACAGCCTGGGTAGTCCCACATCAGTCCCTCCTTGTCCAGCAGGATGCACTGAGGTTAAGGGTGGAAAAGCCACCTGCCCAAGAGCCCCACCCACCTGTGGGAAGGGGTTGGTACTGGGTCTGAAGCTGAAGTTCGGTTTGAGATCTGCCTGCCCAGCCGCACCTGTCACTCTGGTTGGCCTTACCGGTGGGAGTGGGCTGTGTAGACCTGCAGGTGTGAAGGACCTAGTCCCTGCCCTCAGGGCCCACAGCCCACTGGAGAGAGCAGACTTAGGCATTCCAGGCAGAAAGCACCACAGATGGTGCAGGAAAGCCCTGGGAAGGTGCCAGTTGCAATGGCTCTCAAAGATGGGGTTGGGGGTAGGCCTGGTGCCGTGGGGCAAGGAGTGGGCAGACTGAGAGCACCTTCCTCACAGCTGCTTCTTCCTCAGAAGGGCAAAGAACTCACCTTCCTGCTCCCCTCGTCGCTCCAGGCCCAGGGCAAGATGGTGCAGGTGCTGGCTACTGGGGAAGCTCGGCCTAGCCTGAGGATTAGAGCAACACTGGGCGGCAGTGAACACTTGTCACCTGGTGCTGGTCACCAAGGAAACAAGCAGGGTGAGGGCATGTCCAGCCCCACACTAGAAGCTGCAAGCCACCACCTGCAGGAGAGCCAGGGTCCCCAAATGCAGGTCCCACGCACCTTCCCCACAACCTAACCAGCACCTTAGGTGAGGGGTGGACCTATTCCTCTGTGACAGTCGGTTTTTAACACAGATTCCCAGAGAAAACGCATGTACTGGTGTATTATAAGCCTGTTCTTCCCGGGCCAGAGGGTTCTAAAGTTTGGGGGTGTTTGAGGGTGAAGGCTGGTTGAATGGGAGGTGGGAAGAGCTGCCAGAGAGGAGGCTGCGATCCTGGGAAGTGCACCCACCTGAGTGGGCCCCCCACATGGTGAGTTCTTGGAAATGTGACCTATTTGGCATACACTGAGCTCAGCCCTAAAGGGGCTCCCCAGCAGCAGGGGGATGCCCTAGGCTGTTCCAGACTTTGCCTGAAGGAGGTGATCTCACTGAAGGGAATGACAGTGGGGAAGGGGAGGGGCAGCCTGAGAAGATTGGTGTTGGAGGCGCTGGTGACAGAGGGTACATCCAAGTGACACGAGGTCCCAGAGCGGCCACTGGTCATGAAGTGATTCCTGGGGAGCCAGGAACCCCAGCCCCATAGCGATGAGGCAATGAAGAGTGAGGGGCTGGGAGAAGTTTGCATGTTATTCTGGAGCAACATGAACATAAAATCGGCCTCCATTCAGCAAGTGTGGCAGGCTGTGCTGGGGCACGTGCTCAGGCATCGGGATGCTGACTAGCCTGGAGCAGCAGCAGGAGGCTTGTTGTGTGATTGCGGGTGAGTGCTTGAGTGCTGAGCGGTCAGTGGTGGAGTAACGAGCTGGAGGTGGCACTGGGAGGAGGCTGAGCTGCTGGGACGTGGAGGAGCTGGAGCCGAGCCCCTGGAATTGCGGCAGCAGAGGGGCCAGGCTGAGGCCACTGGCTGCTGCTGATGGGTGCTTGGCTGAGGGACATCTTGTGGGGATCATGGCTGTATCCCTTCTTGGTGAGTGATGTGCAGACCCTTAGTCACTCGTAAGGGCCCGTAAGAGAGAGCTCAGCCAGGCCCACCTTTTGGAATAACACGTTCTGTTGATTTGCGTCCCAAGCTGTGAAAGCCATTTCTTTGTGACCTATACTTACTCCAGGGAATCTGATAATGTGCCTCCTGAGCAGGTGCCCCACACATACCTTCACTAGAATTTACAAACTGGGATCATCTCCCATATGAACCTTTTTTCCAGACTTAAGAACATTCTGGGGCCTGTAGTGAGGAACAATGTGCTTGAGGGAAGGGGAGAGAAGTCAAGAGAAGAGGACACAGGAAGATGTACTTACACTCCACTCCACTCTGAAAAGGGTTTGAGGTCGTTTGCAAAGGTGCATGTGGTAAGGAAATTGGGACAGAGGAAAGATAGGGTAGGGAGAATATGCTGTGGCCAAGGACAAGATTAGTGCAAAAATGCAAACCCCGAGGTCCTGAGATCCCTGCCACCAGCAGGGAAACGGGAGCAGTTACATGGTTCACACTCTCCGTAAGATAGAAATCAAGCCACTTGCTCAAATCACCATGATTTCTGGCCCTAAGACCCTGAGAAATCTCTCCTGTACAATGACATAAAGGGAATACTGTGTGACAAAGTTAGGCAATGTCCTCAACAATTTCACAACAGTCTCCTAGGGCTAAGGCAGGGACCAACACAACACTGTTTAGCCATAGAAATATTGCTGATCTTGCTTAATCCAAAAATAAAATTTAGATCAACTGGAGGAATGCATTGCTACCTTCGGGAAGTACTATGTTAATATTTACGGCAACGTTTCTGATAAATATCAGGCAGCAGGAAGGTTTGCTTATTTACTGGGCAGCTGGCGGGCCCAGGGCTCAAACCCTGGACCTTGGTGTTAGCAGCGTGATGCTATACCAGCTGAGCTAACCGGCCAGCCTAAAAGTTGCTTTTCAATTTATTCATTTGTTTTCTTTCTTTTGCACTGGCCGATACAGTGATCCAAACCCTTGACCTTGGTGTTACAACATGACACTCTAACCGACTGAGCTAACCGGCCAGCCCAGGAAGGCTTATTTAAAGTCAGGAATTAAGCAGAGTCACTTTTCTCCAGATAGCGGTAATGTCCTCATAGGAAACGAAGAGCTCCATCAGCAGGTAGGCCCATAAGGTGAGTTTGTGGATAAGGAGGGCCCAGCCGCACTACTTACCCTTAGGTCCTGAACCCGCTGAGAAACAGGCACAGAGGTCAAGGATATACTGACTGCAGCGGAAGCTGGACTGAACAGAGGCTTGAACACGAGGCCCAGATGTAGAAGGCAGGTCCTACGCTCTCACCTGGGTTTGCTTACCTGGGGCGTGGGAACAGGAGGAGACGGTCTCCATCCTGTGGCAGACTCGCCCAGAAGACAAGGGCTGGCCACAGGGAGAGCAGCCCTGACTTCAGCACCTTCCCCCTACCCGGGAGAGGGACTTGTCTCGTAGGTCTCAGACCCTGATCTCCTCATCAGACAGAGCCTCTTCCCTAAAGGAAGAAGGCTGGGGAGAGGGACAGGAGGACTTTTCCAGAGTCATCTCTCCTGGGGAATAGAGTCGGAGTTCCTTTGTGAACACATGAAGACAAGAGAGTAGGGTCCCCGCAGCAGTGGGAGTGGGCTGGACACATTGCTGGACAGTGACATCGATGCTCATGTCCAGACCTGGGAATGACCTTTGACACTACCCCCTTCCTCATCTCTCTATCGGAATAATCGCCACTTCTTTTTATTTGATTTTATTTCCTAGATACATCTCAATTCCATCCACATTTTCTTTCCCACGTCACACCCTAGTCCACGTTGCTGTTGTCTTCTGCCTGGACCACTGAGGCACCCACCTAACTGGGTGCCCCACACTCAGCCTTGCCCCCTCCACCATCCCCCAACCCAACAGAGTAGCCAGAAGGGGCTTCCTAAAACACTAACCTGATTCACTGTGTCTTCCATTTCTTTGCGGGCTTCAACCGCCTTCCGTACTCAGGGCCTCCCCAGTGCTGTCCCTTCTGCCTCCAGCACCCTTCCCAGCACCCTTCCCCGCACCCTTCCTCTGGCTAACCGTGCTCATCCTTCAAGTCTGCACTTAAGTGCCACTTCTTCCAAGGGACTTTCTCCTAACCCTGATAAGGTGTGAAGCCCCACTTCTTATGTCTTATAGCACATTCCAAAAATAAAAATTTAATTGTAGTGCTCCTTAAAGGCACAGACACCATCTGCCTTGTTCTGCGCAGTACAGAAAAGTATGTCTTGAATGAATGAGTGATTGAATGGGGCAGTGGGAGGAATAGAGGAGGTGGCTCTGCTATGGCTGATGCTAAAACAAGCCTGAGATCCCTCTTTGTCCTGTTGGACTCACGTTGGCTGCACCACCACGACCCAAGGGTGGGCCTTCCCTGCCTGCCAGCCCTGTCCCACCGATGCCTGGCTCGGGCAGGGCTCCCTCCTGTAGCTCCCCTGTCAGGAGGAGCTCTCAGTGTTCAAGGAAGCTTGCTCCACCTGCAGTTGTTCTTGTGGTAGGGAGAATCTCTCTTCCTCTGGCCTTGGGTTTACCCTTTGCAGTTACAGGGGGCGCATCCCTTTCTGCCTCCAAGCCATCTGACCGCTTGGGACATTTGGAGGCAGTTCTCCCGCACGCCCTGGGTCTCCTCCCAGGAACATCCAGCTCTGGCTCCTTCAAATATTCCTTGCCTGAGGGCTGTGCAGGCCCCTCACTA